GTACACGGGTACAGATCAGAGCTGGAAACACAGGGAATCCAGTGCAGATAAGCCCCTCAGGACCAGTAATGAGAGTAGCGATACCAGGAGGGGAAGGGGAAGGTGGGGGGTGAAAGGGGGAACCGATCACAATGATCCACATATAACCTCCCAGGGGGACGGACAACAGATAAGTGGGTGAAGGGAGACATTGGTGAGTCTAAGACATGAAAAATAAGGATTTATAAATTATAAGGGGTTCGTGAGGGAGGGGGAAAAAAGAGGATACCAAGGGCTCAAGTAGAAAGAAAATGTTTTGGAAACGATGATGGCAACCTATGCACAGATGTGTTTGATACAATGGATGGATGTAAGGATTGTGATGAGCTGTACGCGCCCCCAATAACTTGGAAAAATAAAAAGAAAAAAAGTATCAAACAACAAAACCAAACCCATCGCTGTGAGTCATTTTTTGAAATATTGAAGCCATTTGGACTATACGTTATATGATTATTGTCACTTTTCTTAGACGTGACGATGGTACAGGTTGGTGACGGTAGGAGAAACATATTAAAGGGTAAAGGGTAAAGACTGCAGATGACCACACAACCAAACCAAACTCAGTGCCAGTTAGTCAGTTCTGACTCACAGCGACGGTATACGTTTCTGAGGCCGTAAATCTTTATGGGAGCAGAAAGTCTCCTCTTTCCCTTATGGAGCAGCTGGTGGGTTTGAACTGTCAACCTCGAGGTTAGCAGCTCAACACGTAACCCACTAACTACATAACCAGTGTCTGTTAAGATGACCACAGCTTAACTGTAAGTAGATCAGTTAACAAAACCCAACAAACAAAAAAGGACACACATACGCATGAGGGAACTTTAAAAGTTTGTAGAAAAATTCTATGATTTTAATTCCACTTTCCACAAATTTTTTGAACATACACACGCAAAGAGAAAAATAGCAAAACATTAACACATGATGAACCTAAAAGAAGGGTGCGCAGATGGGTCTTTGAGCTCTTTTTTTCAGCTTTTCTGCAGAGGTGCAAACTGTCAAGGTAAAATACTGGGATCACTGAGGTTACCCTGTAGTTAATAACTGACTGGTTATTCGCATAACGAGTAACACCCACACCTTCACCTCTGTGCTCCTTTTCAAAATCACCTCTACGAGACCCACCAGCCGACGGTGGCTCCACGGCGAGATGAATGGAAACGGAAGAACCGGAAGGGAAGCCCTGCGGACGGCCGCACGGGGAAGAGCTGCGGCCACGGAGTGGCCTGAGGAGATGCTGAATGGGAACCTCACTGTGGTATAAACTGTCACTGAGTACATGAGAAACCACTATTAAAAATAAAATCCAAGGGGAAAAAGCCACAAAGACTGTTAGCATAGGCCAGGTCGACAGAGACAACCTCCTCCTCATTCTGAGCCTCCTAGCTAAGAACTCAGTGTGACCAGAGTGCCTCCTAAAGGCAAGGACGGCGAGACTTCTTACATACTGGGGCATGTTGTCGGGAGAGACCAGACCCTAGAGAAGGGCATCACGCTCCGTACAGTAGAGGGGCAGCGACGGGAAAGCAGGCCCTCGAGGAGAGGACTGACACTGTGCGTGGGCTTCAGCAGAGGGACGCTTGTGAGGATGGCTCAAGACCGGGCAGGGTTTCGCGCTGTGGTGCATAAGGTCACTATAGGTCAGAACCGACTGGACGGCACTAAACAACTACCTAAAAGAACTTCCGGGCCTGTTGACCCAGTGTTACTTCTTTCTTTCTAGCAAACAGACTCCTAATTTGTGTTGTCAGATCCGGCACCACCCACACCAGGCACCCCCTCAATTTGAGAGGCAGCAGGGGCTGAGAGGGGTCTGATATGAAATTCTGACCCTGCCACTTACTACCCTGTTTCCCCGAAAGTAAGACATCCCTGAAAATAAGACCTACTTACAGGTTTGCCTCTCACTGAAATATAAGGCAC